ACTGGCTGGGTGGTTCTATCCTCTATACTCTCTGCAGGGATTGCAGCTCCAGAGTTACACCCCAAGCATATATGCCAGGCCTGAGCTGAGCCTGGAGGGGACAAATTGGAGTAGATCGGAGAGGCAGCTCTTCAACACACTCTCTTGGTCTGGGCTAAGACTGGGTCTGGGGGTTCCCGGAACGCGGCAGAAATTCCTACTTGGCGAACAGATTTGGGAAGGTTCTGCGGAGTGGTGGGGGGTGTCCCAAGGGGGTGGAAGAGGGTCTCACCCATGCTGTGCATCGGCTGGGACCTGTAGTCGGTCTCGCCAGTGCAGGGTAGAGGGAAGCTCTCCTACACACTCACCGGACCTGGGTTAGGACTCCTCCTCCTTCTTCCTCCTCTTCCTCTTCTGTCTTTTTTTTTTTTTTTTTTTTTTTTCATATATGGGAAGGAAAGATCCAGCGAGAAATCAATGTTCAGGTTTCCCTGAGCCCTGGGCCACTCATGCCATAGTAAGAACAGGTGTGCATGACTTGGTAAACCATCAGATGTCATGCAACTTTATTACGCCCAATAAAGAAATATAGTGAGTTATGCAAAGTTATTTCTGACATGCAGAAAAAACACCACAAAAGGGGCACCATTTGTGGGGCAGCCCTGGCTGGCTGAGAGGTCATCTTGTATTGGCTGAAACAAACGTAGGAAACAAGAGCACCCCTTTGGACCCTCAGTTGTGTGCCAAGCACAATAAGCAGGTTAGGAGCAAGTCTCCATGAACAGAATAACAAATGCTCCTTAGTCTTTCCATTCCATTCCTCCCTGAGGATGAGGGGCCCAGAGTCAGGAGCCTCTGCTCTGGAAAGGCTTAGGCTGTCGGAGCGTGTGCCTTACCCAGCCTGGGATTTGAAAACATCTGAACAGAAAGTGTTGCGATTGACCAAAATACACTGAGTCTCCTGATTCTGATCTTTAGGGTGTTTGTCTCATGGCAGTTTAGATGCAAGTTAAGAAGCACTCAAAGGAGAACATACATTTATGTGCTAGGGAGGGACAGAAACCAAGGCTTATTTGGGGAAAGTCACCTCTCCACTCTTCCCCCAGCCTCCCTGCATGTGTGCATTCTGCAAGGACTCCAGGCTATCAGACTGTCAGCTTTTCTGATCTGCAGATGACTAAGTAACGTCTCCCAGTGGAAACAGTGTTTATGGGGGAAGCATCATGTGTGCAGTTGCCGCTTAGCAAAAATGGGCTCTTGGAAACATAGGTAGAGCTCAGAGGCATTAGAAAGACTTTATAAAGAAGCTGACTTTCTGATTTAGAACTTCAGGACTGAAAAGATTTGGGTTTTGGAAAATGTCCACTTCACGTGATGTCAGCGTGATGATGCATAGGTGCTATTAACTGCTGAGAACTAGCCTTCGGTCCTGGGTGGAACTGGAGTGAGTTGTCAGGTAGGGGAGCTCACAGAGACACAAAGGCCAAATGTCACAAGAACCTGCATCAATTTTTCCCTGAGCTCTAGTAAGATGATATATTACTAAATAGAGACATTAATTTTGCTGACTTATATGAAGTTTTTAAATGGACACATGTGAGTGGGCATGTCTGTGAGTATGCGTGTATGTGTGTGTGTGTGTGTGTGTGTGTGTGTGTGTGTGTGTGTGTGAAAATCAGGTTGAGGCATTCAATTAGCAAATGCAAAGAGAGAAAGAGGGAGATTTATCTTCTCCCAGTAAAGTAATTACTGCTTTTGAAATGATTAATGTTTCCATGTAATTGTAGAAAGAAAGGATGGGGTGAAAGAAACACCCCAGGCTTTTGTACCTAGGTACTCCATCAGTTTTCAGGTATATTGGGGAAGGGTGGGTGAAGATGTGGTTTTTTTTGGATGTGGGAGGTGGCCCCAGAAGGAGCTGACATCGTGGGATCTTGCTTGTTTTGTGTTCTAGGAATTGGAGTGGGGGTCATTTCTGAGAGTTGTACAAGCTGGGTGGAAGGGTCAAGGTGAGATTTTTTTTTTTTTGGCATATTTTAGGGCAGGGTCTACAGGGTGTTCAGGGTCTAACTACTAGATCAGACTTGTAGTGATCCGCCTGTTTACAGCCTCCCAAGAGCTGGGATTACAGATGCACATCGCCATACCTAGTCTCAATTGCTATCTCAGCATGCCCTGGGGGTGGGGCTGGCATGGCAGGCCAGGGGGATCAAACCCCCAAAATTCTAAAATTAATGCGTGGGAGATGAAGAGAAAAGTCTGGGAACAGAAGAGCAGGCAGAAATGATGAGTGTACCCGGGTGACCATGCAATTGTGTTTTTTAATTGACCTCAGCATGCCAGTGGAAGTGGGAAGGGGCGTGGCAGGTGGCAGGGATAGCTGGACCCGTTGGTCACAGACGAAGACAAAGAGGGACTCAACAGTGTGGCGGAAATTGTTGTCTGTGTGAGCCGGCCTGGGAGGAAAGTGAAGCCAAGAGGTTTGGAAGGGTAGCGAGTCACAACTGTGCGAGAATTTCATGGAGCAGACATGGGTGTGTGAAGAGTGAGAAGTGGAAGAACCAGAGACGGAAATCATAGAGTGAAATTTTACTGAGCATCTCTACCACGGTCAGAATGTTTGTGTCCTGTTCAAGTTTCTATGCTGGAAACTTAACCACCAGTATGACAATGTTTGGAAACGGTGTCCTTGGGAGATGATGACGTATGTCTTGTGAGCAGCCTTTGTGCCCGTAGAAAAGACGCTCCAGATGACTCTCTCACCCTTGACATGTTGGGAGGACACAGCTAGAAGGTGCCCTCAATGAACCCACCCCCAATGGGCATTTCCAGGCATTTAATCTGCTGGGGTCTTAATCTTGGACTCAGCCTCCAGAACCAGAAATAAATTTCTGCGGTTCACGAGCTACTCAGTTTATGCTGTTTCATCACCGTAGCCCAAATGGAAGAAAGAAACCTTCTTGGCAGTGACTGCATCTGGACTATAGCCCCAGGAGTGTATTTATAAGCAGAGACAAAGCAGATAGGAAAGGCTGAGGGGCCGCAAAGCTGGGGGAGAGGCCTCGCCGGATGATTTCAGGACTTCGCTGAAGACAAAGTGGACAACTTGGCTGTTGAGAAGTTGTTGCCCTTCTTTGTGTTATGTGCAAGCCTAGATGATAGTATTTTAAAAAGTCCTAGAAGTCAAAAAGGACCAAGAGGGGAGACCAGCATGCTAACCCCAAGCAACCTGTGCTGGGAAGCAGCCTGAGGCAGTGAGTAGCCAGAGCCTGGCCCCGGAATCTGGAGCTGTGGCGGCTGTTCAGTTGCCCTTGGCTTCCTCTGTAACTCAGACTAAATAACAACCTCTCTGGGCCCCTTATTTGTGAAACGAGAGGCCTGGCTTATGTGGTTTCCCAGGAATTTTCTGGCTGTAAATCACATTCATTTTAGCAGAATATTTGTTCCAGCCTTTCCTGGGCTGCTGCGGCGCTCACCTCATTGTTCCCCAGACACCGATTTCATTCCATCCCACCTCACTCTCTGATGACTTCTGCTTTCCAGTTGGAGATAAGAGTCACAAATCCCTCAGGGTAATTTTCCCAGCTGCCAAAACTATTTCCAAAATGCAGACTTGTGGCCACTGATTCACACTCGGTTGGACAGGCACGGTTTCTTTCTGACTGCTTGCATGTGTGTCACCATTACACTGACAGATGAACTCACTGGTGAAGAGTGAGAGTAGTCAAGGGGAGTTCCTGCAGACCTTATCATGAGTGCCAAGAAGAGAAATGAAATTTAAGATCACCACCGTCATCCCTTCTGAAGTGTGAAAAGTTCATTATGCATGGCCCATGCTTCGTAAGACTGAAAACATATAAGCAAGGAAAACATTACCTAAACACCTTCTTGGTGATCAAATAAATAAATAAAGGGTAGATGTCACCAGATAGTGCGCAACAACACGCTCTTGAAGCCTCTGTCCTCACTGGCGACACATTTGGAGCTCACGTATGTAAGCTCAACACCACAGAGATGGATGTAATGTGGGGAAGAAGAGAAGAGGGCAGAGAGATGTTCTCGGGGCTGTGCCCAGAAAGCACCCCTGTCATCACAGCTGGATGCCAAGACGCACACTGATGGTAGAGAATATGCTGGGGTCAGAGGCCTAGGTGAGTGGAGCGCATGGTATCTCCTCTGAAGGGCAGAGTTAACATAGAAAGTGACAGGGTGAGCAGCAGGCAGTGAGAGTGGAAGAGATCGTTGCCTTTGCCTGTGGAGGTCTGCCCGAGGGAGGGCTGGCTCACTAGAGGAACAGACTCAACACACAGCACATGTGCCACTTTACAAGGGGTTTATTAGTTCAGCTTACAGGATCAGAAGGGGAAGAACCCCAGCAGCTGCCCGTGGAATCAGAGGTAAGATTCCAGTGTTGCTCTGCTTGCCGAAGAGTCAGAGGGCTCAGGGGCAGTCAGAGGTCAAAAAGCCTGGAACTCACTGCAGGCAGCAACGAGTTTGAAAGCTGGAGTCTGCATTGGAGGCCTGAAGGTGCTTAAGACCAGTGTTCAGAGGCATGTTGCTGAACACTGGAGCACCTCCAAAGTAAGAGGGAAGACTTCCTCTCTGTCTTTTTGTTCCATCTGGGCTGCAGACTATTTGTTAATTCCACCCATACCTGGTGGGGCTTTCCTCCTCAGTTTGCATGCTATGTACCAGTAATCTACAGACACACTCAGAACCTCACTGACCTACTCACAGTCCTCTGCCAAAGGCAAATTTCCATAGCATGATTAGCGACCACAATCCACCCTTTGCCAACACATCCTAAACCATGCTTAACTCCCCATATAGTAGTGAGTTTCTATTATGCCTAACATGACTGCATTTATGGATTCTGCATACAAATAGATATACACTAATTCTCTGTCAAGAATAGAAGGCAAAGTTTTTTCTTAGGTGATACTTACTCTTCTCCTACATGCCATAATTAAATATTATAATGTATTTAACTATACTTACAAATCAGTAGTGGCACAATCAACATTTTGTTAAGAAGAAAAAACCCCAAAGATGCCTGCTTAATGCATGTGTGGCAGGCATGTTAACAAACTAGGAAAGACACTCATGACAGTTGCAGTCCTTTTTTCTGTAGCTAGTCACATGCTCCAGCTGGAACTGACAATCTACTGCCCACGCTCTACTCCTTTGACCTTCAACAAGCACTTGAGCAGCTGTTATTTCTTTACCTGGCAGGGTGACCCACACCTTTACTCTTGAAAGTTCTGTGCCACTTGTCATCTTTCCTGCATGGGTTTTTGTGGTTTTCCATCAACTTTAATAACAGGGCACAATAGTAGGAGATACCCTAAGGATGTCCTGCACTCCAAATACATTGTTTCTTACCAATTTCCCCTTGGTGATCTGGACCTCTCACCTCCAACAACACAGTAACATCCTTTTTAGCTTGATGTGGAGTCATGAGCAGCCCACAAGAAGAGGGCTGCCTTAGGGTTCAGTTCAATGAATCACCATTGCATGTCCTGGTATGAGCCTACTGGCTGGGGCCATCCACATCTGGGGTGTCTTCATCCTCAATTTGCAGCCTACCTGTCAATCATTCACAGATACATTGAAAGCTTTTCTAATATGCTGGGTGGTTCTTACTCCAATCAAATTGACTTGTTATAGATAGTGATGGCAAGACTGTTGACAACTTCCCCATGAGAGCTTATGTGGAATAATGGGGCAGGAACCAGACAATGTGAGTTGTTAAGTGAATGGTTGGGATAGAACTGGGGTTGCTAAGGTCAGGATATTCTTTCAGAAGTGAAAGCCAAGACTGAAACCCTTGGAGGTAGTACATGCAAAGGAGAAGTTTGGGGGAAGAATAAAGCCCAGTCCATGGTTAGAACAAGAGCAATTAATTAGAACAGGACACAAGAGGCCATAGAAGAATGGCTTACATCAGGTGAAGCAGGAAGCTGGGGGGAGTTGAGATCATACTCACAGGTGAAGGTGTGAGGAGAATGAATCAGTTCTACAGTTGAGACTAATATGCAAACATAGATTTTAAGCGGTTAGGAGCTTATAGTATATTGTATCATATTATTGTGGCAAGTCACTTAAATACATCAAGCACAGCAAGATAGGAGAAGAAACACTGACACAATTCAGTAACAAACCCAGAAATTCCCAGGAGGAAAAATATTACAACAAAAAGCAATCTAACCTCTCCAAATGCCCAAACTTGGTATAAGACAGTTGCCTTACCTGCCTAATAAGGAATAAGTTTTAGCAAGCAATACATTATGGAAAGAAGGTTTATTACCATTGCTGTCATTCTCTTTGGACAGGCTTGTTGTAGTTACTGCCGCAGATTGCTTTCCTATTACTGCCATGTTGAAAGGGCAGGGAGAAAAGCACTGCTGTTCCCACCCCGGGCTCCTGTATGCATGTACGCATGTGCCTTCAACTTGGTAGGGGAGGGGTCACACAGCCTACCACGCCGCAGGGACACTCAGCCATTAAGTGACCTAGAAACTGCTCACTAACTGCAGAATCCGACCTGCTTATGTCATCACCTTTGTGATTATATTCTTATATTTGGGTGACTTGCAGATTTATCTTCAGAAATAAATTCAGATTCACAGTCTTTGATCAAAGCAGGATCTGTTTCCTCTCTAGAGTTGCACACTCTATAAGTGATCATGAGACTTAGTTCTCAGGAATCAACTCAACTAGGGAAAAGAGAGAAAGCTTTGAAATCGTGACCATCATTGCTCTTAAATATTTCAAAGGAAAAAATAATCTATTGCTCTCATATATTTTAAAGTTAAGATCTAAAAATTTGTACTAACCCCGTGTAAATGGTTGTAAGTTATTCAGTTTTCCAGCATGTTGCAAATACACGTTTTAAAGTAGAATCATTGCTTCATTTTTGAAAGGTACTTGTGACATCAAAATATCACAGTAATCTTTTCAAAACAAACATTTATTTATTTATTTATTTATTTATTCATTCATTTATTTTTGCAGTACTGGGGATTGAACTCAGGACCCTGCGCTTGCCAGGCAAGCACTTACTCTACTGAGCTATCTCCCCAGCCCCTAAAACAAACTTTTAAATTAAGTGCAACTTTTTAAATGTGAACAATTTATAAATGTGCATTGACTGGTTGTCATAGAGTTAGAACACTCCAAGAAGTCTCCTTATAAGGGTCAGCCAAATAGCCCAGCAGATTAAAGCACCTATTTAGGCAGATTCAATGGCTGGGAGTTCGATTCCCTGGCATGCTGTGCCAGCTCCATCCCCAGGGCACACTGAAATGGTGATTGAGATGGGGTGCGGTGGTGTGTACCTGTAATTCCAGGGATAAGGATCAGTGTAAGTCCGATCTGTGTAATGAGGCCCTGTGGACCCTGTACTAAATTCATTAAAAAAAATTAAAAAGAAGTCTCCTTTTGCCTCTGTTGAGACATTCCCTTGTGTCAAAATGGACAAGAAGTGGGATATCTTTACAACAGATTCTCATTGTATCTTTGTAGATACAACTGTATCTTTACAGATACAATGAGAATAAAGCATAGTAAAAAGTCTCATTAGAAATGATACTCTTTCCCTAAATAAAATGATAGGAATTCAACAATGGTTGTTATATTTCTAATTAGTTGTTTAGATTACCAGGTAAAAGAATGTAAAATTGATCAAAAAAATTAAAAGAAGAGAAACCAATGAAAAAGGAAATTAAGCATTAGCTGTATTATTTTACAATAGAACAGTAGAAATCAGCACAATGCCACCTTAACACACTTCATTATAAAGTCTTGAGGTACACATTTCTTATAGCTATTACTCCTTTAAAATGTTTCTTTGATTAATTTGTTTCCCTGTGTGGGTGTAAGGGGGTGCTTAGTCCACTGAGCTATCTCACTGGCCTTACTATGACTATTCTTTGCCCACTAGATTTTTGTGTAAATTTATAATCTGTTTGTTAATGTGCACACACACACACACACACACACACACACACACGTACTTCAATGGCTGACTGTATTGACATAGGGTCACATATATCCCTTATTAGATGAATTTAGATGTTTTATAATGCTGTACTTTGTAATCAAGTAACATGTGATGCCCACCATTCACTTAGCTATTGCTCAGTATTGTCAAACATCTTGTAGTTTTCATTGTAGAAGAAAACATTTAAACATATTTCTTTAGATTTAAAATTAATTTGGCTCAAAATTTTAATTTCTCTTTACTTTCAAAAGATAAGTTACATTTCTTTTTTTGCAAATTACTCTAGTGGGGCCAGGGAGATAGCTCAGTAGAATAAGCGCTTGCCTGGCAAGCACAAGGGCCTGAGTTCAATCCCAGGTTCCACAAAAAAAAAAAAAAAAAAAAATTACTCTAGTATGCAAACTTGTGAAATCCTTTACCTATAAATTTTAATGATTCTTAAATTTTGGGTACTTTCCTTACTTCATATTTTACCTTATGTCATATTTTAATGATAGTTTCCTTCACACTTGATAAAACAGTATTGTGCTTCCTTACTGAGATGGATAGGACCTCAAATATCATGAAGAATGCAAAAAGTGATAGTTGGTATGCATATTTGATCCATTCTGATTGCAGGAAGATGGCTTGCAATACGTAAGAGTCAAGTACGATGTCTGTAGTGGTTTTTACAAATAGTCTTTGCTGGAGTACAGAAATGATTCCACCATATATTTCTAGTTTAATAAAAGATTTTTAAAATCATAAATTAGCATTAAATTCTGTAGAATAATTTCCTGTATTTTTGAGGTGATTATATAATTTTTTGGTACTTTACATTGTTACATATAAGCATATATATGTTTTATATCTACACTTTGCTTACTAATTTATATTGATTTTTAATTGTAGTTCTTTAAAGATTGATTTATAATTTTTCTCTCTTGTGGCCTTATTATGTTTTGAAGCCCTTGTTAAACAAACAATGATTGTATTTTCTGAAAATTTGGGTATGACTGGTATTATCTCTTCTTCAGACATTTTGGAGCATTTATCTGTAAAACCAGGTGGGGTTGGCAGTATCTTTTTTGACAAGATTCTTAAATGTAGATTCTCTATCCTTCAGGTATACAAGAATATTTGTGTGTGTGTGTGTGTGTGTGTGTGTGTGTGTGTGGCAGGTTCTATTTTATGAGGTATTTATGGACACGTGTAAACTTTCAAGCACCTTGGAATGAAGTTATTAACAACCTCCTCTTATTATCTTTTTACTAGCAGGCTTTGCATTTCAGAATAGTTCTAGGTTTACAGAAAAGCTGAGCAGATACAGAGGTTTCCTGCAGCCCTCCACACTTAGCTTCCTTTGCTCGTGGGCTGATGTTGCCATGTTGTTAACTACAGTTCACAGGTCACCCAAACTCCCCTTATTCATCCCTACTGCCTTTGTTTTCTGCTCTAGACTCCTCTCCGGGGTACCACGTGGCCTTTGGTTGTTTCTTGGCTGTGACATTTCCTCAGACTTTTCTGTGTACCTGATGACCCTGACAGTAATACTGGTTACATATATTGTGGGGCGCTCTTTTATTAGAATTTGTCTGGTGTTTCTTCATCATTAGGTTGGGTTTATTGTTTTCTTCCTTAGTTTACTAAGGTGAAGGCTTAGATCATGGATTTTAGATGTTTCCTAACGTGGGCGTTAGCCACTGTGTTTCCCCCGAAGCACAAATGGGCTACCATCCCAAAGATTCTGAGTTTTTTTTTTTAAGCTTGGTTCAAAGTATTTGAAGAATTTCATTTAAGCTTCTTTAGCTCATGTGTTAGCCTGATTTTTTTAACCTCCAGATACTTAGGTTTTTCCCAACTATCTAATTAAGTTCAATTATGGTTTCACAGTTTGCTTTGAGACTCAGTTTTTTGACAAACCTAAAAAAAATCATTGAGTTTTAGTCTGCTCAGCTTTTTTTCTTATTATGAGAGTGAGAATAGTGACTGCCAGCCTCTTAACTTGTGAGAAATAAACAGAAGTTCTCTTACCTTAATGTCTGAAAAACTGGAAGCAATATATCTGTGTTTATTTTTGATATTCATAATACGTAATTTATCTTTTTTCCTTGGTCATTCTTTCAACAGTTAGTTAAAACTGTTGGCTCTGTTGTATTTGTTTTTAGTAATATTTATTTTTTTAAAGTTAGTTTTGCCTCTGAAATTTTTTGGATTTAACTTATTCTTTCTCTAACTGCTTGTGGCAATAACAGCACAGATGTTCTTTCTTTTTTCTTCCCAAATTCATAAAAGCTATAGTTCACCTTTTTAATACTGTGAGAGATATATCCCACAGTTTCATATATGTAATTTTGTATGTGAGTTTTATTGAAAAGGCAATGCCATATTTTTTATTACTCACTTACAATATTTCTCATTTTATTGTGATTACCTTTTTTAGTTATTTAGAAGTATGTTCTGTTTTTTTTTTTATTTTTAGGGTAAGGTCTACAGGGTGTTCAGGGTCTCACTATTAGATCAGACTCGTAGTCATCTGCCTGTTTACAGCCTCCCAAGAGCTGGGATTACAGGTGCGTGCCACCACGCCCAGTCTCAGTTGCCCTCTCCGTGCACCCCAGGGGCTAGGTCAGCACAGCAGGCCTGGGGATCAAATCCCTGGCCCCTGTGCCTGCTTGCAGACACTTTAATCCACTGAGCTATTTGGCCAGCTCTCTTCAGAAGTATGTTCTTAATTTACAAGAATTTAACTTTAGTATTTGGGTAATGACTGTATGTTTTTGATGTCTAGTTTAGATATTTGGATGATCATTTTTTCCATTGCCTTAAAAATCTTCCTCCCTTCACCTACTCATTCTGCCCCTTTATGAATCCCAGACAGTTGCTCGGTGCTCTATGCATGCTGTTGTTTTGCCGGCGTGTTTAGCAACTTTTGAATGAATGGAAAACTGCATGAGGAGGTAAGAGATTCTAGACAACAATGTATTCTCCTGAGGCAGATCCTTTTATTCTTTGATAGGCAACCAGGGTGAGACAGCCTACTCCAATAGTGGCTGAAATGACTTGAGTGTGACTTCCAGTTTTGAGAAGTTTTGTGAATTCTTTTCTTTTGTTGTTGCTGTTTAGATTTCTAATAGGTGCTCTAAGAATCTGGGAGATTTATCAGATGTCTGTCCATTGTCAGTTTCTTAGTCACTTCCCCGTCACTGGGAGAAAATCACTCACACCCTCAATGTAAAGGAGAAGGGGTTTATTTTGGTTCACAGTTTCAAGTGCATTCAATCCCAAATCAGCCCTAGTCAAGATGCAAAGTGGAGGAAAGTTGTTCAACTCGTGCAAGCCAGGAAGCAAGAAGAAAAAAAGAAGCAGGGACAGGAATGCACCAATCTTAACCTCACTATCTCATTGCATTTCAAACTACACTGCTTCTTTTGTTGCTTGAATTGGTCTATCTCTAGATTTGTGTTTTACTCCTTCTACTGGAAGCTTACATAACTTAGGATTCTAGTGTAATACAATTCTAACTTCACTGCCTGTTAATCAAACTGTAATTGTTTTCTTAAAATGGACACAGTCAACATTTCGCTCCCCGTGAGCAACGTTCTTTCATTCTCCAAGTCTCTGATTCATTAGCTCTCAGTTCTGCCTGTATATCTGAATTATCAAGAGAGATTTCAAATATTGCTGATGTAATGGTCTTCCTGCTAGAGATTCCAATTTAATTTTTCTGGAGTGCAGCTTTGGCCCTGGAATATCTTTAGATCTCTCAGTAGTTATAATGTGCACAGATTTGCTGCTCTTAATGTTACAAAAATTGTGTTTTTAAAATTTGTATTCATTTTAATGAGGAAAAAAGATAAAATAGCATGAAACCATTTTAAAAGAGATTAGTAGGAAAGAATTGTGTTTTGATCTGAGTAACCATTGCCAATTTGTTTGTACACAATCACAATAAATAAAATGCGTGATACGTTTTGATGAAAGAGTTCATGGACACCAACATTTCAAAGCGAAGCTTTGATTTTTTTTCAAGAACTTTCACACTGTCCTGTGATACCTCACTATGTGTAGATGTATATTTTTAAAATAAATAAGCATTTGTGAAAAGGTGAAGTAGAAGTGAAGCAGTGTGTGAGGTCTTACAGTCACTGAAGTATAATCTCTCTCTCTCTCTCTCTCTCTCTCTCTCTCTCTCTCTCTCTCTCTCTCTTACTTCCTAGCGATGAAGTATTTTTGCCAAATATGGTTCTGCTGCGACATCCTGCCTCATTGCAGACCTAAACCAGTTGTTCGCAGACTGAGAAGCTGCGAGCCATAATACATCTTTTCTCTTCACACCTTGATTCTTTCAAGTAGGCGTTACAGTCATGGAAGGCGGCCTGACAGGAAAGGGTCAGGTAACCTAAGGTTCTGCACGGTCTCTGTCAGTCAGTATTAGAAAGAATACAAGGGCAACCCGAGGGACTAGAATTTGAGTCCCTTGAAGCGATGATTGTCACACACATACAGTATTCCTAGGAGAATCTTTACGTATCTTGATTAGGTAAGGGTCATGTACAGAAGTATTTCATGATGTGTTAGGCATCTTTTCCCTTCCAAATCAATTTACCACTTTCTCCTTCCCTGCTCTCTGTCTCTAGAGGCCAATAGAAGTGGACCATTCTGGAAGCGTCCTCTGCGCTTCGCCTCTGGCGTGGTTTACTGACATGGCGAGCAAGGGAGGAGAGCGGGGCAGGGCTCACTATCTCGGCTCGATTTCGTGAGGGTGCTCGTGAGGGCGACTCCTGGGACTCAGGGCTGCACGCAGGTGACGGCCTTGCCATGACGCCATCCTTCAAGGCTCGGGCATCAGTTGCCTTGTACCTGTGAGAAGGCAGCGCCCCTCACAGAGCTCGGGATGTTCCGCTTTCCCCTCCAGTTCCTTACACTGTGAACGCAGCGTCTACGCCTAATCCCCCGTTAAATGGCCTACGTCGAAGGTGCTGTGCTGGTTCTTTTATAAAAGAGCAGAGGAGCCCTGGGAGCGACTCGGTGACTCCCATACAGGATAACTGGGATCGGGTATGGCCCTGCGTGTGGCTTCCAGCTCCTCTGCTTCTCTAGCTGGAAAACAGACCATTTCAGGCAAACCTGGTATCCTGGCTCTGTCAGCACAGACAGCAAATGCTACAGCTGACGTCACTCAGAACGAATATGATGAGAACATGGATGCTCTGTCCTGCACCATTGCTTACCCATGTCTGTATTTTTGGCAAATGAAGGATAATTTGACAGGCAACACCAAAAAAAGAATGTAAGACATATACAGTATACGCCCTCCCATCACTTTTCCCATTCCTCATTTAGGCACCGTTCTGGCTTGGCTTCTTCTCAAATTGCTTCTTGGGTGCAAGTTCCCTCTTCTCAGGGAGATTGCAAATTTCTGGGGACACAAACAGCAAACTTATGTTTCTTTGCAGCTGCTACAACCAGGAAGTGTTCTGCTCAGCCCTCTTCTACTCCAGCACCATTCCGCATATCCCGACTGGCGTGGAGCTCAGTTGATGAGCGCTTGGTTTCCCTTGCATTTTCTTCAGTCGGTCATATGACAGAAATAATTACTGAGTGCTCACTCTGTGCTAAACTTTGGGTAGCCTGTGAAATGCCACAGTGAACAACAGTCATTTAGTTCATTGGTTGTTGTTGAACCAATGCTAATCAGGGATGCACTCGTTAGTGAACTGTGACAAGTGCTATCAAATAAGAGGGTGACAATGACTTTTAAAGAGCAATTGAGTTCTCAAAAATTTCATGTCTTTGTTCACCCCTTACCTGAACAACTATGAGCTAAATTTCTTTATGAATGGAGTAGACAGTTAGGAGCATGATTGGCTGCTGCTAAGTCTGCTGTAGCAGGCTGGCCCACTGCTATTAAAGACCCTTGAGAGTTCAGTGTCAACAAACCATCGACTTCTACATCTATGCTCTCTGTGCTTGTCTGGATTCTTGATTGACAATACTACAAATCTACTCTGGTTGTTTATGCACAAAAGGCATCTTCTGTCGAACTCAGACTCAATGAAGTCTGAAGACCCAGGTTTTAAAAATGGGCAGAGATCCGAGGAGACAGGTAGGTAAAATTAAGGTCAAACACCTATGGGTCATAACACTGATGGTAGACACCTGTAACTAAGCCCTGGACCCTGAAGTCTCTGAGGGAAGCAGAGAGAGGCCGGCGTTCCTCCCTGGCTCTAAGAGAAGTGGTCAGCTATCTCTGAGTCATGTTTATTTCTGACCCCGGGACCCCACGGCCATCATCCATGGAGCGGAGCGTAGGACCTGCCAGTTGCTGGGTCTAGAAGAGCAAGGATTTGGGGCTCCTGACAGGGGACAATTGCTTTCCACCTGAGACCTGCAGCGTAGAAGGCTTCCAAGCTTGACAAGAGGCTCCATATTCTGGGGAGCCAAAGCAAGTGCCTCACCATCCAGTGCGCTCACAGTGAAATTGTAGCTGGCACCCTGGCGAGGGCTTTGTGGAGAAGAAGACACCATGTTAGAAAAAATGCTGTTAAAATAAACCCCAAAGAGAATCCTGGCAATTAAATCAGTGACATAGAGGAGGAGGAAGAATAGCTGCTAAGGTGATATTTGAAAGTCATCTTCACTGCCTTGTCCCCTTCATCCATGTCCTAGAAGTGCTGAATCCAGGCTGACTCCCTGACGACCGAGCTCCGCTACTGCCTGCCCTGGAGTTGCCCCACGGGGCTGTCTCTGCCTGGCCACTGCTTCTTCATTTCCCTTGGCCTTTCGAAAGCCACTTTACGTACTTGGCACAAGGTCTCACTACACAGCTGAGACTTATAGGGATCCTCTTGTTTTCAGCCTCCCCAGTGCTGGGATTACAGGCCTGCACCACCAAGCCCTGACTCAGTCCCAAGCTCAGTGCACCATGGAGGCAGGGCTGGTGCAGCATGTGGGACCAGGGGACGAACCCTGGTCCCTCTGCTTGCCAAAGAAGACACTTAGTCTGCTGAGCTATCTCACTGGCTCTGAGAAAACTGATTCTTAGAATAAAGAGTGCACTTAGTCACATAGCTAGAAAAGTAGAGCTCGAGTCAAAGACAGCTCTCGCAGAAGACACAGCTGGGCTCTTAAGCACGGCCCTAGAGGCCTCCCCCCTTAAAACATGAAAAAGAAACTTTGCAGTCTGTCCAATCCTGGGAGATGCTTCTCGGGCCTGCAGTGGCCACCTTCGTAGCATGTGGCCCTGGAGGCTGACAGCAGGAGGCAGTGGTTAGGACTTTGCATTTCATGTTTGACTTTGGCACGTGTAAGCCGCAGAAGAATGTTGGTGATATTATTTTTGGTCACCAGATGGTTGCCAGCCATGTGGGAATTGGGTGTTTTATTGTGGTGGGTCCTGCCTGCCATCCTAGATGTCTTTATATAACTACATGGTCTGGGGGAGCACACAGCCTACAGAATGCTGCGCCCCAATGCAGCTGGCTGTCACATGTACAAGGTAAATGAGGAGAAGCGAGCGCCCGGTTCTTTCTGCCAGATGGCGTTTGCTGTGGACTCACACTCTCAGGGCTTCTGTCATAGCCGTCTAATGTTTCATGCGCAAATATCTTTTGAGAAAGGTTGAATCACAGACTTGATTCTGTAGAGCACTGCGTGTGCCAAAGTCATTCCAAATGTTACCTCATTTCAAAGTGCCTTTGTGGCTGGTTTTGTTTTTCATTCCTTTCCCTTATTTTAGATCATTATAACACATTTTATAGGTCAGTGTCAAACAGCAAGACTGCAACAGTAAGGGGACTGACGCTGGAAATCATGCCAGAACACATAATTGTCATCCACTAATTTAATGGAAATACAACATTATGGCTCAGATATTACGTATGTGGGAATCATGAGAACTCACAAAGCTA